ATATCGTTTTGTGCAGCCCTACTTTTGGGTATTACAGTGTTTTTTATAAACCCAGTGAAACAAAGACGGCCTGTAATCCTGCTCCTACCGGCTCTCTGTTCGATTCAATTATCTACGGTAAGCTGCTGGTGGAGATGGTTTAGTTCAGTTTCTTTGTTGATAGTGTCGTGGACAGTCCCCACTAATCAACTGTCACTAAAAACAGTAAATGGGGCAGCTTTAGCCAACATGCTCATTTCCAGCTGTTGTCCACATGATAACAGACGCCTTTTTAAAATCACAACACATCAACAGCATTAGTTATAAAGAAAGAATGAAAGACAAGTAGATAGAGGAGAAAGGATCAGAGAGAACAATAAAATGCAAACAACACACGTTACTAGATACATGTCACATAATAGCAATCATAACAGAAACCAGGGTCCATGATCCCAACATGTAACACACACGCCATATCCAACACAGACGAGTGTGTGCAGGTGTAGCTCTCAGTGAACCGTGTTAATACGCCGGGATCCGGAGTTGAGGCTGATCCTCTTGCTGTGGTCCTGTGTCTTGGATCCTCTATCCTGAGTTCTGGATTAAGTCGTGGACATGGACATCTATTGCACGTCTGTCCGTCCTGGGAGAGGGATCCCTCCTCTGTTGCTCTCCCTGAGGTTTCTCCCATGTTCCCTTTAAACTGTGGGTTTTCTCTGGAAGTTTTTCCTTGTACGATGTGAGGGTCTAAGGACAGAGGGTCTAAGGACAGAGGGTCTAAGGACAGAGGGTCTGAGGACAGAGGGTCTGAGGACAGAGGGTCTAAGGACAGAGGGTGTCGTTTTTCTCATACTGATATTCTGAACAATCTGTGCTGTTGTATTTGCTGTAAAGTGTCTCTACTGTAGGCTATTTTTATTACATGTTCAGCACTTTGGCTCCACCAAAGATCGTTTATAAATGTGCTATATAAATAAAACTTGAATGATGGAGAATCAACAGGGTGTTAGAAAAATATCACTGCTTCAATCTCAGGATCCATTTGTTTATGATCCTCTCAAGAATGGAAGTAGTCGAAACAAAAAAAAGAATTTGTTGATATTTTTCTCAAAATCTAAAAATGCACTTTTTCTAAAAATTCAGACTTTTTCTAAAAATGTAGACTTTTTTTCAAAATTCTGGCTTTTTCTAAAAAAATCAGACTTTTTTTCTACAAAAATCTCAAATCTTACTTTTTCTCAAAAATCTTACTTTTTCTCAAAATCTCAAAATTATGACTTTTTCTCAAAATCTGACTTTTTCTGAATACTTAAATTTTTTTAAATCTCCCTGGTCCCCGGCTTGAATCTCAGGATCCATGTGTTTGTGATCCTCTCCAGAATGGAAGGAGTCATCACATACAGAGCATCAACTAGTTCCTGAACAGTGTCCTTCACATGCTGATATCCAAGAGAGGGAGTTACAGTCACAAGATGGAGGAATAGAAAGCAGTATTCAATGTTTACTTCAGATTAGCTCCACGTCAGAAATGAGCATGCTTGATGTCTCTCTCCATAGAGGCTGAATCATCATGTTAATCACATAGCTATCATCTGCCTCAAACAGTCCTGATGCTCTTCTAGGTAATCACACATCCTGTCATGTTCACAGCTACAGTTGGGATACCTTTGTCATCATGTTGCTCTCATGTTGGAGGAGGACATTCAGTATTTTCCTAACACAGGGCGATCCAGAGAGATATAGGATCAGCGAGGCTAAGTCCCAGAGAGCGTGAGGATCCCAGTGATTGAATGATGGAGCGTTTAGTATTTGAGCCGTCGGACAGCCCTAACAACTTAATCCTCCATCGCTACCCCCCCCCCCCCCCCCCCCCCCCAACACATCCCCTCGCTAACTCCAGATCTACAGCACATTTAGAGGTCAGGGCTTAAGTGGTAAAAAAAAAAAGAGGAAAGAAAGCTCCTTAATGATTTAATCAGCGGAGATATTTATTGGTACTCTGTGCGCAGTTAGTGATTATGGAGCGGGATTAAAAGGACGAGGTTGTGCTTTTTTGATTGGGGTTAGAATCTGAGCCGAGGTCAGTCTGCTGCTCGGGGATGATCCTTTGTGGAAAAGAGCAGATCCACTCAGGCATGCAACACAGAATATTACCCGTGCTTTTTCACACAAATACGACTCAGTGGAGCCGGAAATACAACTCCTGTTGCTTTCATTTAAATGCAAGTAATGATGCAAAATTAATAAATCCTTCCCATACTGTTGTATTATTATGATCCATTTAGTGTCATCTCTTTTATAGGATTATTATTTTTATGATAAAAAATGTATAACTAATTCTACATTTGTATTAATGTCATTTTTTTACTAATTTGTATTTATTTTTTAACGTAAAAAATTATTTGCTTTCAGGTTTTTTTTACAATAATGCATGTTTTCTTTTAATAATACTGTAAAAAATAGTATGTACTTTGAAAAAAAAGTACATGTATGGACTAGGGCTGTACCCGAATATTCGAATATCCGAATATATGTTAGCTTGAGTACTATTCGGGTTTCAATTTCGTTATTCGGATATTCGTTTTGTTTGTTTTTTCCCCGTTTCTTTTTCAAATAGAATTTATTGAAATCTCCAATATCAACGTAAGAGCTTGTGCCTCTTCGGGGGGTGCTAACACTTAACCATAAACTTTATCGTTTACTTTCTCCGTCTTTATATGTAGATATTACTTTTCTCCGTTAATCTCCGTCACGTTGTTTCCATAGCAACAACAACTTCCTGTCAACAGTGCTAACTCTCCTTCAAAATAAAAGCATGTCCACAAATAGGAAGCCAATCCAAATTACACTTAAGACACATACAACTGCAACGAAAGTAACAAACACAATGCGATATCCTTTTCAATTTCAAAGAACACAAATTGGGTTAATAACTATAAAACAACAATACTGTAGAATAACAAAATGGATGCCGTGAATAAACCGAAATACACGTGTTGAAGCGGTTCGCTGCTGATTACTACGCCCCCCCCCCCGCGCGGGCCGAATATTCGCTGCTGATTACTACCGAATATCCGGAGCCCGAAAAATGGTATTCGGGACAGCCCTAGTGTGGACACATTTAAGTGATATCTAAACAACATAGGAGTAAAAAAAACAAGTAAAGTACAAACACCACAAAAATATACTTAACTGGACTAGCCCTTTGATCACATGGATGACTGTTAATATCTGTTTGTATGTAAACTACATTTAATCTTCACGCTCACTATCCTTGTCTGTGCTTAAGACTTTTTCCTGTTGCAGCTAAAACACCCGAGTTTCTATACAGGTATCAATAAAGGTTAATCTTATTTTAAGTACAGTACTCGAATAAATGTACGTAGTTACATTTCACCGCTGCCAAATGGACTCTGGATTACTACAGTCTATGTGATTATAAAGACTGTTGGCACTGTGAGCGGCACATTCAGGAAGTTTTAAAAGTGGAGCCCATGTGGAAACTCTCCTCTCGTGATCATGAAGTCGCCACCTGTGTTTCCTCACTGACGTTGATCTTGGCTTTGCTGGCCTGGTTTAAAAACGCTGCTGACTCTCCCGTTTTGATTGGAATAATCACGGTGGGCTTCCTGCGAGGAGCTGTTTTGCACTCGGGTTCTGCGGTTCCTCTTTGACTTGCGTTCGCTAACTAAAGGAGGCAGAGAGGTTTAAAGAACAAAAGACGTTGCCAACAAGCTTCCTGTTGGAGGTGAACGAGGAGAAGGAAAGAAAGACTGGGAAGAAGTTGAAATGGAAAGATCCCAGTTCTTAGATCGTACCAATTAAAGGAACATTCAGGATCGGTTTCTGCAGAACACAAAATCCGGCCTACAGGGCTTTACATAGTGAGTCCACTTCTCCCCGTTTGTAGTCATTTGCTCCAATTTATGATTGACATTATCTTTTCCATATTGTAAATATCCATTGAGATGTTCATCCGTCCATTTAGAGTCGGGCTATCCTTCGATAACCTTTTCCTAGTTAATGCCTTTTTAGCGGCAAACAGCCCAGACAGAGAATCTGAAAGAAAAAAGACGTTGCCAACAAGCTTCCTTTTGGAGGTGAAAGTGGAGAAGGAAAGAAAGAGAAGGAAAGGAAGACGAGAAGAAAGACTTGGAAGAGGGGGAATGGAAAGATCCCAGTTCTTAGATCGTACCAATTAAAGGAACGTTCAGGAGCCAGTTTCTGCAGAACGCATTAGCAGCCGTTCCCTCGCTGTGTTCTCTCTCTCTCCGCACTCTTTTTATTTCCATTTCATCTTACGATCCCGGTGGGGTTCCCAGTGGTGAGGTACTTCCTGTTGTAAGTTTTCCTTCAGTGTACGAGTGCTTTCTGTCTCTCTGGAGCTGTGAACCAGCGCTGGAGCATTCAAGGACTCTTTGTAACTTCAGGAGGAACAGAAGTATGACCACGCTGCAATGCAATTAGTTTGTTTTGTGACCCAAATGAAGTTTTTACTAAGCCTGCAACTTGAAATGACTGTTGTACTGGTTGCCAAATGTGCAATTTACAATCATTTTAACGGCTAACCTTTAACTTAGGAGTCATTTTTTGAACAATTGGTCCCTGAGTTCAGACAGAAGTATGCAAAAGCAAGCTAATCATTTCCCGTTGTTTACCTATAAGCTTGCTGAAATGCCAACAGTCACAACCCATTATATTAGCTGTAGCTAGCAAATCAAGCTGAGTTATGAGTTGGATAAATAAGATTATCTTCGGCTTACTTGTTGTACATTTACTTCGACATATTCATTCTAGCTGCTCAACTTGCATAATTACATTTTCAGCACTATTTTTTCAACAGGACAGGTTTTTCCGATAAGGTCATGCTATCATGTTTACTCTGGTTACGTTTGCTGGAGTGTAAACTTCCCCTAATCCAATGCAAGACGTTTGTAACCCAACAAAAACAATAGTTAGTTCTAGATTTGCTCCTTGGATGTAACACAAGCTAGTTAGGCAAAAAATGCTAAAATTCAAAGTTACATTTGAGACGTTTATTGCTTTTAAAAGAGCCCAACGCTCACCTCTTAGAGAATCCAGATGGCCCAAATACACATTATCTCCATAACAGGGATTTATATTCAGTCAATTCGGATTCACAAGGTTTGGATTGGATTTCGGGTTACAGTACCAATATTGCATCGCTATGATAGAGTTTTTTAAAGAACTACTGATGCAAGTTGTATTAGGAAATAATAGAAAAAACACAGATGTGACCAGAGCAGATCAGCTATTAGATCGATTTGATCGGAAAATCAGAAAACCGATCCATAAAATTCCCTAAAATGATAACTTGGAGAGTGTCTTTATGCTTTGTTCTACGCTTGTTTGTAAACCCGTCTCTTTGGGGACTCTGAAACTCTCTTGGCTCCAATGAAGGAACCTTTGGCTCCACGTCTTGTTTGGCTGTCTGTTCACTCTCTCTTGGGATGAATTGTTTCAGCCAACAGCGTCTTCCTCCTCCCGCTGAGATTTCCCTTCACTTGAACGCGTTCGGGGAGATAAACAACACATTTTGCCCGGCGTTTGCTCGTAACGTGAAGTTCCCATCTCGAGAATAGATCACATTACATTTCTGAATCCCACATCACAGCCGTTCCTTTTCACGGATCGTTCCAAAACAGTCTCTGGATCTTTTGACCCTCCTTCACGAGATGATGGCTGCCGCAGATGTAGGACTGCGCCTCAGTGCCTCATAAACGCCCCGATGAGACGAGAGGAGATGACGGAGGAAGACCAGAGCGCAGTGGGATTCTCTGATGAGCGTTACTGTAACTTGAAGAGAGCTCCAGACCCTCTGTGGGAACAATAAAATGCACAAAAGGATGTTGTTAGGACGGAGATGCTAGGGGTATCTCTTGACTTCACTGTGCTGGCTCAGCGTATTTTGCACATCTGGGGAAACCATATCTGTGTGAACCTCAGCAATCAACTCTAATGGCCAATACTTCACTTGGGAGGTGTGTTAACACAGGAAGGGAAGCATTAACAGGCCTATGAGCCACTTCTGAGTCATTACAATAATGCAGGAATATGTCTTATTCTAAATTAGTTTTAGCACTTTCCGTGATCCCTCGTGTGGAAGGCAATGGTTCTTTAAATGTGTTTTTGCTTATTAACTGGTTGAAATAATGTTGAAGAGATATTGAAGTTTTCTTGTACGACATAAAATACGGCAGTTAATACCCCACTGGTGGATTTAAAAACAGAAGTTGCTAACAAGTGTCTAAATGAGACAACTAAACGTCATCACGCCCCAACATTAGCCACCTTTAGCTTAGCGCTGGTGGCGTGAAGTCATGTGACCGTGCTGTAGTTCCTTTATAATAATAATAATAATAATTCCTTACATTTATTATAGCGCTTTTCCAGATGCTCAAAGCGCTTTACAAATACACATTACACATATTTTTTATACATGCAATGGTCACTGTGGACAATACCCACAGGAGCAAGTTCAGGTGAAGTGTCTTGCCCAAGGACACAACGGCTTTACAGACGCAGCAGCGGCGGGTTTCACCCCTTGATCTGATGATCATTGCACAGCGCACTGCGCCACACCGTCCATCTTCACGCCTCGAGGTCATCGAGGCGCTTTTACAAGTACACATTGATATCATACATGTACTGTGGACATTACCCACAGGAGCAAATCCGGGTGAAGTGTCTTGCCCAAGGACACAACGGCCTGACGCAGTGGCGGCAGGGGCGGGTTTCGAACTGGAGTTCCCCAGCACCCCCCTTGATCTGATGATCAGATGCACAGACCACTGCGCTACCCGTTTATAGCCCAACATTAGCCACCTTTAGCTTAGCGGTGGTGACGTGAAGTCATCTGACCGTGCTGTAGTTCCTTTATAGCCCAACATTAGCCGCCTTTAGCTTAGCAGTGGTGACGTGAAGTCATGTGACCGTGCTGTAGTTCCTTTATAGCCCAACATTAGCCACCTTTAGCTTAGCGGTGGTGACGTGAAGTCATGTGACCGTGCTGTAGTTCCTTTATAGCCCAACATTAGCCACTGGTAGCTTAGCAGTGGTGACGTGAAGTCATGTGACCGTGCTGTAGTTCCTTTATAGCCCAACATTAGCCACCTTTAGCTTAGCGGTGGTGACGTGAAGTCATGTGACCGTGCTGTAGTTCCTTTATAGCCCAACATTAGCCACCTTTAGCTTAGCGGTGGTGACGTGAAGTCATCTGACCGTGCTGTAGTTCCTTTATAGCCCAACATTAGCCGCCTTTAGCTTAGCAGTGGTGACGTGAAGTCATGTGACCGTGCTGTAGTTCCTTTATAGCCCAACATTAGCCACCTTTAGCTTAGCGGTGGTGACGTGAAGTCATGTGACCGTGCTGTAGTAACTTTATAGCCCAACATTAGCCACTGGTAGCTTAGCAGTGGTGACGTGAAGTCATGTGACCGTGCTGTAGTTCCTTTATAGCCCAACATTAGCCACCTTTAGCTTAGCGGTGGTGACGTGAAGTCATGTGACCGTGCTGTAGTTCCTTTATAGACCAACATTAGCCACCTTTAGCTTAGCGGTGGTGACGTGAAGTCATGTGACCGTGCTGTAGTTCCTTTACAGCCCAACATTCATACACTTTTGAGATCACTTTCTGTAATAATCCAATGGAAAAATACCATTAGCTTTTGGTGGAAACAGGAGGATGCTGCCTTCAGGGACCACTACATATGAAGTCTTCTGTTTTCAATACTCAGCATGAGAATCACTGCAGCAGTTTGTCTGTGCTGCAAATGAGACAAACAAACATCATGAAATAAACAGAAACCTCTCTTTGAACGCATTGCTTGGTTTGCATTTCTTCACGGCAGCATTTTTGTGTAGGTGTGTGTAGCAGACCACATCTCCACGTTTTTTTTTTCGAGACGAGGAATTTGAAACTTAGGCGAAACATACAGATTCCTTCCTTCATCAAGCTCTGCCACGGTGAGGAGAGAGAGGGAAAGGGAAGAGACTGGGAGATGACCATTAGTCTGTAAGATAAGTGAAATCACATGTTGGCAGTGGTTCTGGTGGAAAAGACAAAGAAGGAAAAGAACAGGGTCGAGTTTCAGGATGATGCCTAAGATGAGGTGAAGCCGAGCAGGGCAGATAGAGATGATAAGATGTGTTATTTCTTATATTAATAACATACTGTAGCGCTGTCTCGTCCTGGTGAAGGATTGCTCAGAGGGTTTATTGAAGCCTCGTTACTGAAAAGCGTACATTTCCACTGCATTGAACGGCATTCTTCTGCACATCTGAGCTCTGATTGGTCAAAGAGAAGCGTGACACGTGACATGCTGTACAAACTGACCATTTCTAAATAACCAAGCTAAAAAAAGTGTATTTACTAGATAAATACCATCCTCAAGAACCACCCCACACTCTACGCTGATGACCTAACCCTAATTGAGAACGTTTTTCTGCTGGTTGCTCTCGAAAGCTTCCTGTGATCGTCTGGTTTCAGGTGATTAAACGACAGGATATTGGCGGAGAATCCATCGAGGCCTTGTTTTCAGCGATTGAAAACAAAATAGGGAAAAGGACAATTAAGGTAAAGAGATTTGAGACCTAATGAGGTAAAAGTGGACTCTTCGATTGTCAATCAGGGTCTTTAACTTTCTCTAAATCTACGTGAAAAGAGGTGACCTTTCTCGACACTTTCTGAAACGTACAATAAAGCCCACTTTACCCAACAGGGCTCGACAGTAACGGTTGCCAGGTTGCCATTGGCAACCATTCAGAAAACATTTCACCCACTTCCTGGCCTTTGGTTGTCATCAGTGGCAACCAGTTTTTAACATAAAGAAATAAGGACAGCTAAATGCGCACCCCAAAATAGATAAATGTTAATTATTTGTTGTATTAAGAGTGATATTTAATTATTGTAGTGACCATTCGGAACCTGATACTTAAGTTGCACGTGCATTGGTGTGATTACGGAGCCAGAAAGCGATGCACGTTTACTCACGTACGCGGTGTGCCGTGTGTTTGTTTTACAACAAATGGTGAAGCAAAGTAAGTTGTTTGACTGTGGGGTAAAAAGTTCAACGTCTCAAACGAATGATCAAAGTGATTCAACTGATAAAGCGCAAAATGAACCCGAACGAAAGCAAAGAGGAAATGTGTAAAGTCTGTACATTCTGCTCCGTTTCGTTGTCCATTCACTTCCGGTAAAAGTTCCTTCAAAATAAGAGTCCCGATCTTATTACTACCAAAATAAAAGTTCAAAACAAAACTTTACCATAGAAAATATTGGCATACAAATATAATCACTTCTATAAAAAGGTAACACTCTTTAAAATATAGTTAGACATATTAAAGGTCATTTACAGCATTAATGATGAGTATCTCATTCTTAACTGTGAATGGTTTTCATTTATTTAACATTAGAAATGTAATAGTCTGGCCAATCCAAGACTTCAATGCTGAAGGGCCCGTGGATCTATGGTGGGGGTCAGCACAGAGGTCAAGACTTCAATGCTGAAGGGCCAATGGATCTATGGTGGGGGTCAGCACAGAGGTCAAGACTTCAATGCTGAAGGGCCCGTGGATCTATGGTGGGGGTCAGCACAGAGGTCAAGACTTCAATGCTGAAGGGCCAGTGGATCTATGGTGGGGGTCAGCACAGAGGTCAAGACTTCAATGCTGAAGGGCCAATGGATCTATGGTGGGGGTCAGCACAGAGGTCAAGACTTCAATGCTGAAGGGCCCGTGGATCTATGGTGGGGGTCAGCACAGAGGTCAAGACTTCAATGCTGAAGGGCCCGTGGATCTATGGTGGGGGTCAGCACAGAGGTCAAGACTTCAATGCTGAAGGGCCAGTGGATCTATGGTGGGGGTCAGCACAGAGGTCAAGACTTCAATGCTGAAGGGCCCGTGGATCTATGGTGGGGGTCAGCACAGAGGTCAAGACTTCAATGCTGAAGGGCCCGTGGATCTATGGTGGGGGTCAGCACAGAGGTCAAGACTTCAATGCTGAAGGGCCCGTGGATCTATGGTGGGGGTCAGCACAGAGGTCAAGACTTCAATGCTGAAGGGCCCGTGGATCTATGGTGGGGGTCAGCACAGAGGTCAAGAAAACCCACATTTGAAAGGGAGACAACGGATGACCAAGAAACTAGTGACTTGCTCAATTCCTTTGTGAGGGATCTGTGAAGAACATGACAGCAGCTGCACCACTGGTGTTTAGTATACCAGCAATTGAGGGTGGACAAGTTTCCTACACCTTAAGCTTCAAATAATTGTGTTAATTACTTATTGTAAAGCATTTGAACATTGTGTCACATGTTCATTATTAAGTTGATGTATTACTGTATAGTATCTTAATTATTCAAAATATAAGGTGACTAAAAATGGCAACCGTATTTTCAGTTTTGGCAACCAAAAGCTGATGCCTGGTTGCCAGCCTGGCAACCACTTTTAAAAGTTAGCGTTGAGCCCTGCCCAATGCTCGTGCAGCTTTTGAACTTTTCCCTAACCCCATGTCTTCATCGTTTATTTCCCTTCTCCAAGTTTGTACGGTTCATTGTTTTAAGATAACGAGTCAGTCGAAGGCCATGACGGTAGACATGTTACCCTTCTTTGTCTGTGGAAACGCGTATTAATACTTTGCGGCGGCGGGGGGGTGGGTGTGTCTACAGAAGGTCCAGTTGTGATAGCCACGGTTCGCCACTGGTTTTTAGCAATTGAAAAGCAGAACCTGTCGGTTGTCAGTTCGCCCTGAACGCAAACCTTTATTGATCTCCTGACTCCGACACAGCAGCAGCAACTGTGGCTCGTTTTTACCTGACATCCCGAGCCATCACACACTCGTTCCTCCTCACACACTCCCTTTTGTTGACTGGCCTCCTGTTGGACGGCGGCCAGACACTCAGACGGGGTGAGGGATCTCCGTTTAGCCTCACCCTCCTCCTCTTCCTCACCCTCGTCTCCTCTAATCCACAGCGAGGTTTAATCCCGTCCCTGGTGCCCCTGGTAATGCAGGCTTGATTTCATTATGGTGTTTAATGGGCGAACAACAGACTGGGTTACAGAGCCGTGATCTGCGTGGGTCCCAGTTTGGGAACATTCCCCCGGGCGTTCCTTAAGACGTTTCTACCATTCCTCTGTGCACTTGAACTCAACACATCTCATTCTGAATATCTGCATGGCTCTACGAACGGCAAAGTTCACACTGAAATGTCTCAAATGAGATGGATAGCTCTGAGATGTTGGACTTGCATTTATCCTGCTAGCAAGAAGTAAAAGTTACATGTTCTACTTTGTTTTGTTGTAGTTTTAGTGCAAAAAAGATTGAAAAAATGAAGATTGTAAAAATAATTGTAAAAGAAACGTATTTGAATATATTTAGTTTTCTGACTACATTTTTATTTTTTTATAGAAATGTTATATCTGGAAAATGATTAACTTATTTGTCTTACTTCAAAGTACACTATTTCTCTATGTAACTAAAATACTACGATAAATCAACACTTTAAAGATTTGAAAAGCTTCAATTTTGCATGTTTATAATTTCCTTATACAGTCAGAACCTGATTCCCCGTGTCTCTGAAGCTGTTTACATCTGCTCACCAAGCATTGCATCACACAGCGCGATCATAACAGCCTCATCCACCCACCCTCACACACACACACACACACACACACACACACACACACACACACACACCACACACACACACACACACAACACACACACACACACACACACACACACACATCCACACACGACACATATACAACACACCCTCACACACCCTCAACCACACACACACACACACACACACACACACACACACACACACATATACACACACCCTCACACACACACACACACAGCACACACACAGTGCACACACACACACACACACACACACGACCACACACACACATATACACACACACCCCTCACACACACACCACACACACACCCACACACACACACACACACACACATATACACACACACACACACAGAAACACACACACACAAACACAGAGACAAACACACACACATAGAGACACACACACATAGACACACACACAGACAAACACACACACACTCTCTCACTCACACACACACACACGCACACACACACACATAGACACACACACACAGAGACACACACACACAGACAAACACACACACTCTCTCACTCACACACACACACACACACACGCGCACACACACACACACACATAGACACACACACACAGACAAACACACACACACTCTCTCACACTCACACAGAGACAAACACACACACACACATAGACACACACACACACACTCTCTCACACACAGACAAACACACACACACTCTCTCACACAGAGACAAACACTCTCTCACACAGAGACAAACACACACACACACATAGACACACACACACACACTCTCTCACACACACACACACACTCTCTCACACACACACAGAGACAAACACACACACACAGAGAGATATAGTGGGCTTCTTTCTGGAATATTCTCAGGCTTGTGATTGGACGTGTGGCCTCTGGGCGATGTAACGTACACACAGATGATTTCAATTCAGTTCAAATGTATTTATATTGCCCAATATCACAAAACACATTTGTCTCAGACGGCTTCACAAATAAGCATGAGTGATAATATAAAAACAACAAGCATATCTGAGAATATAGTCAAATGACACAACACATTATCACAAATACAGTTAGAATACAATAATTACAAATTCATCAAATGAAGTGTCCCAGATGATGTTTAAAAGGAGTTTAAAACCAGTGCTAACTACGCTGTACTACTTTTCAATGTGTGCCTGATGAATGCAGTTTTATTGGATTTCCTTTTCAGTGCATGAGTTCTGGCTCTGGTTCTCCCTCCGAGCGTCACACGAGACACGACATCTGAGGAGAGTGTTTTAAAGAAGCTCCATCCATCCTCCCACACCTCCCTCACTTCCTTTCCTTCCCCCCTTCATTCCTCCCTCTTTTAACCCCCTAAAGTCCCCCTCTCGCTCCATTTCTTCACCCCCCACCCCACCCCGCCCTGTCGTTTTTTCATTTGCAATTACAGTAATATGTAGCATCAGGCGTGGTGAGATTTAGGGCTTTACCTTACATAACCCCGGGGTT